CATCCTCTATCTCTTTTACCACCACACCCTGGCCCATTCTAACACAGATCTCCCCCCTTTTTTTTTTTTAAAGCAAGGTCATTTGATGTTGTTTTTCTGCCTGAGTCAGAGAGCAAGGGCTTTTAACTTTTCTTCCTCTCCTAGTAAGAGATCTCTCTGTGAACACAGGTGTTTGGTTGTGATTTGCACCTCACTGGGTGGGGAGTGAGGGGAAGAGGGTCTGGAAGGAGTCCCCACTGTGCCGGCAGGTGTCCCCTTCACAACCTATCTCAGGAACTTTAGGCTGATTTCACTTCGAATCTGCCCCTTCCTGGAATAATGGGAATAAGGGCCCATTGTGTTTCTCCACGTAAGGCTGGGCTAGGAAAAGAAAAAAAAAAAAAACCCTAGCCACCTCATGGGGTTACGTTTAACCCCAGCTCTCAGGAGGCAGAAGCAGGAGGTGGATTTCTTTGAGTCTGAGGCCAGCCTGGTCTACGTAACAAATTCCTAACCAGCCAGGGGTTCACAATAAAACCCTGCCTAACAAAAACAAAATAAAGCAAACAAAAAATATCCATAAAAAACAAAAGACTAAAAGAACTGAGGACAGGAAGCTCCCTGCCTGAGGAAACAGCGGCAGTGAGATGCTGGGGGGGGGGGGGGGGGGGGGGGGGGGGGGAGGCAGGGCCAACCTGTCAGGATTAGAGGCTTTGTTAAAGTATTCAGGCATCAAGAAACACTGAGGAGGGGTATGTACTGGGTAGCTTCTTGTCAACCTGATGCAGACTGGAGAGCCATCAAGGAAAGGGGGACCTTGGTTGAGAAAATGCTCCATCAAATTGGCCTGTAGGCAAATCTCTGGGGCATTTTTTTGATTAATGTTTGATGTGGGGGGACCCAGCTTACTGTGCGTAGTGCATGCTATCCCTGGACAAGTAGGAGGTCCCCAGCTGTGTCCCCCTGGGTACCTCCTGGGTTGTAAAAAAAATAAAAATGTAAATAAATAAACAAACAAACAAACCAAGCTGGTCCAGACGTGGGGAGCAAGCTAGTGAGAAACACTCCTCTACGGACTCTGCTTCAGTTCCTGCCTCCAGGCTCTGGCTTGAGCTCCTGTCTTGGCTTCCCTTCTGACAGACTCTACGCTGTAAAGTGAAATAAACCTTTTCCTCCCCGAGTTAGTTTTGGTCAGCATTTACCATAGCAACAGAAAGTGTACTAGAACAGAAACTTATACCAACCACTACGGCAATTGCTGTGACAGACTTATCCGTGTTTTGGGAAGGATTGTGGTGGTTTGGGCTAGAAAAGCTGTTGTGTGCCCATCGCTTAAAGAAAGAGCTGTTCTGTAGAACCTCAGAAGATAATAATGCAGAGAAATGCTAAAAACGAAGGCCTGCCTTGTGAGCTTTCAGAGGGATGTTTGAAAGTACCCTAAACAGATGAAATAAACCTTTATCTCCTGTGTGGCTACTTTTTAACTTGACACAGGTTAAGGGCATCTGGGAAGAGGGAACCTCAATTGAGAAAAATGCCTCCATCAGATTGCCAGTAGGCAAGTCTGTGGGGCATTTTATTGATTAATGGTTGAGGTAGAAGGGTCCAGCCCACTGTGGGCTGTGGGCTTCCCCTGGCCAGGTGATCCAGGGTTGCATAAGAAAGCAGGTTGAGCTAGTCAGAGGGAGCAAGCTGAAAGCAGCCTCCAGTTTTCTGCGTCAAGTCCTACTCTGACTTCTCTTAGTGAGGGAGAGTGACTGGAAAATTGTAAGCAGAAATAAGCCCCTTCCTACCCAAAGTTGCTCCTAGTCACGGTGTTTTATCACAGCGATAGAAAGGCTGAGACACTCCCCAAGTTGCTCTCGTCTCGTTTCGTGTTTTATTGTCAACAGACAGCAAACTAGAACCAGGAGAATTGCGGAAATTCTGCCCTGGGGAAAGACCTCAGAAAGCCAGCAGTTAAGGTGGATGAGTTGATTTTATTTGTTTGTTTTTGTTTTTGTTTTATTCGAGACAGGGTTTCTCTGTGGCTTTGGAGCCTGTCCTGGAACTAGCTCTGTAGACCAGGCTGGTCTCGAACTCACAGAGATCCACCTGCCTCTGCCTCCCGAGTGCTGGGATTAAAGGCGTGCGCCACCACCGCCGGGCGATGAGTTGATTTTAAACCGTCACTAAGAGCACTTTCTTTATGCCAGAAGGCCACGGTAGCAAAGCAAGCCTTCTGGGCTTGGCCAGCACTAACTGGGAAAGCTAATGATCTGGCCAGTCAGTTGGGAGGAAGAGTCAGTAAGATCTCTGTTAGTACTTAAGGAGGCTCAGTACCTGAACCAACGGCAGTATAATAGGTCACCTCCCTCCCATGGCCCAGTTAAAGGAAGAGCAAGGAACAGGCCTCTCCCCACCAACATATGTGTGTATGTGTATATGTAGATATACAGGGACTAGATCACAGGTGTTTTTGTAGCTTTTCATCCAAGCTGGAGAGACTAGGCACCAATAGTTTTAAGGCTTTCTCCATGATGATGGGGCAGTAGGGTATTCTCTGGGCCTTTAGCATACTATGATGGCGTGAGAGTCTCTCATCATATCCACCCCCTGCACCCTCTTTATCACCCCACCCTCCAACCTACCCCCACCTTCTGTGCTCTAGGGGTAGTTGTTTTTGTTTTTTGTTTTTTTCGAGACAGGGTTTCTCTGTGGTTTTTGGAGCCTGTCCTGGAAGCTCTTGTAGACCAGGCTGGTCTCGAACTCACAGAGATCCGCCTGCCTCTTGCCTCCCGAATGCTGGGATTAAAGGCGTGCGCCACCACTGCCTGGCTTCTAGGGGTAGTTGTTGAAGAGCTAACAGCCTATGCAGGTCCATGGGGAAGGAAAGCCAGGGTCAAAAGTGAAGTCTTGGCATCTTTAGAAGGTGTGGAGGTTTGTTATAAACGGTAGCAAATGGAAGAACATAGAGGCAACCCTCCCCTATATTAAGAAGGTCCCATACATTTTCTTCACAGTTCCAACCTAGTTGAGAGAGAACTTAGGCACCTGTCTTTTCTAGGCTCTCCAACCACCAACAACCTTCAGGGTGTGAGAGAGATGTGACTTTTTCTATTCTTGCCACTCCAGAAACTCCATGCTACCCTCACCCCCCCCCCACTCCCAGCCACATTCCTCCTATCTCCTTCCACCGCACCCCAACCCCACTTTCTGTGTTCCTCAAGCACTACTTCAAAGTCAAATGTTAAGTTAAGGTTAGGTTAAGTGATTTCATTTGGTTTGGTTTGGAAGAAGGACTATAGAAGCCAACCCCCCCACACACACAAAGAAAAAGAGGCCATGTTTCCTTAGAGCTCCCAGTCTAGCTGAGGGAGAACTAAGTGCTGGTGTTTTCTGGGTCCTCCAATGAATGTGAACTGTTAGGATACCTTTAGAGGTCTGGCATTCTCTAGTGCTGTGTTCCCCAGCTGGTCCCATCACACACAATTGACTCCCCCCCCACTCCCCCCACCCTACCTTCTGTGCACTCTTAGTACCATACAGGAAAATAATGGTCTGTGCTGTGAGTTTGGACAGAAAGTCAAGCCCCCGAGTGAAGTCTTCTTGCTTTTATAAGGTAAAAACTAGCACGTGACTGACCCAGTAGACAGACATTTGCTTTGTCCAGCCATTCTAGCCGAGGGAGAATCTAGGAGCCAGTACTTTCTAGGTACTCCAGTGAGGATGGGACTTAAGGAAACTGCAGAGATGTGACATTCTTTCTCCCTAAATTCCCAACCTCCCCCTCCCTGAAGCCAGGTGACCATGAGCCCACCTTCTGGGCTCCACAACTGTGCTGGGAAGTCTAAAAGTCTGCATGAGTCTCTGGGAAAGAGAGTCATGCTCCACAGTGAGATCTGGCCACCTTAACAAAGTCAGGCTTTCCTTTAACTGACCCAATACAAGGATGAGCTGAGGAGCAACTAACTGACCCTCACAAAATAGTAACTGGAAGGTAGTGTGGTAGCATGCCCCTTTAATGGCAATACTCAGGGAGGCCAAAGGCGGGAGGATGAATTTCTGTGAGTTTGGGGCCAGACTGATCTACATAGCGAGTTCCAAATCAGGCAGGGGCTACATACTGAGACTTTGTCTCAAGAGAATATTGTCTCCGCAATGGTCCTGTGGCTTTTGTAAAGTAGGGAACTCATTTTCAGTATCTGGCACCCGTGAAAGGAAGGGTGTAAGAGTACCTCCTCTGCTCCCCGTCCGTCCCTCGCCCCCCAGCATTAACTAAATGTCAGATATTCTTTTAGCATTTCCGCCCCAGCTGAGGGAGAACCCAGATGCCAGTTTTTTCTATGCCCTTGGAGGATAGGAGTAAAGGGTACCGCTGACATGTAACCTTTTCTTATCCGACTCCTCCACAAACTTCTACCTGCAGCCAGCCTATCTCCTCTCCTCCGGCCCTCACCTCCCATGATCCAGTACCCACGCTCGGTACCCTTCCAACACCACTGCTGACTGACCCCACCCATCCTCCTGTCCTGTACAAGCAATGCCAGGAAACCTGTGCGTAAGGGGCAGATTGGGAAGAGCAAGCTCCACGGTGCTAAACTGGTGGTGAGTTGGTGGCAAGGTGGAAGCTCTGGTACCTAATCCGGTAAAAGGAAGCCTATAAGACCTACCGCCTCACCCTGGTTGATACTGACTAGATCACTGAGCTTTTAATACTTCCACCCTAGCTGAAGGGAACTTAGAAGTCAGTGTTTTCAAAGACCTCCACTGAAGGTAGGCCTTTAGAATACTACAGAGGTGTTACATTCTCTGGTTTTCCCCATTCCCAACACCCTGGTCTCTGGCCTGGGGCCTGGCATCCTTACCCCGACCCCACCCAAGCCCCACCCTTTACCATATCACAAGCACATTTGAGAGGCTGCAATGAAAGCCTGAAACTCTGGCTCGGATCCTCATAGTAGCCACCTAGACTTGGGTACCAGCTCCTCCAACGGGTGCCCCCATCCTGTTCCCAAACTCAGAAGCCTAATTCCACAACCATGTCTGAAGAGCAGACACCCCAGACGTCCGAAACAGAATGTGGCACAGTGGATTCCCCAGAATTTGAAGATGAAGAATGCTGGCTTTACAACGGTAAAGGCCTGCTTTTTAAGCACGACCTAAAGGAGGAAAGCGACCCTTCTGGTCCTGAATTCAGAGTTTCTTTCAAATTCCCCAGGATCAAAGGGGAAACCATGTCCTCTCTCCCCAGTTTTTGTTTCTCATACCACCTCACCCCTCGTTTCTAAGTAATGCCATCCTAGAATCCTTAGTTCTCTCTCAAACTGTCAAACTAAGTCAGGGAGTCCCTTTAACTGGAGGCAGCCAGAATGATGAACAACACAAACTTTTACGAAAGAACCAATCAGCATTACATCCTAAACCATGTGGAACTGCAGTTGGAGACTGTTGGAAAGGAGCATCCTTCCCGAGATTAGAACGTACCAGTGTAAGCTGGTAGTCACCGTCCCCGCTCTACTTTCCCCTAGAATGGGAGCCACCTGATACTGCTCCCCATCAAACTGAGGGACCCATTCAACAACAACAAAAGTCCTATAATCTGAGACATTGAACGTACTTTGGATTCACTTTTTCACCTTAGTACAGTGAGCTGGATCCCAGCGGTAGTGGTGGCACTCAACTTTCAGAATACAGAGGCAGGGCAGATCTCTGAGTTTGAGGCCAGCAAGTTTCAGGACAGCCAGGGCAACACAGAGAAACCCTGTACTGGAAAAACAAAACCAGCCAAACAAGACAGAAAGGACTCTGGAAGTGGTGGCACACACTTTTAACCCCAGTACGTGGGAGGCAGAGGCAGGCTGATCTCTGAGTCTGAGGCTAGCCTGGTCTACACAGAGAGCGCCAGGCCAGTTAGGGCTATATAGTGAGAATGCCTCAATAAATTAAACAAACAAACAAACAAATAAATAAATAGAGTGGTTGAACCCTCTGACATAGTAGCCTCACCTGCCGCAAAATCTGCACACTCTTGCTTCTGTACCTTCTAGAATATGCAATGAGAGATGTGGAGATATCTTCAAAGTGCTTTGACTTTAAACGTATTAAATACGAGTTTTATTGCATTCAGGTCTGTATATGTTTAATCCTCCCTGCCTTTTTTTTTTTCTTGTTTCATTCACAGTGTTGGGAATCAAGCTTATGCCTTCCTCTGCACTGGGCAAGTATTCTACCCTGAGTCCACCCCTAAAACCACTCTGGGATTTTTGTTGCCTTTGTTGTTATCATGTTGGTTTTTTTATGTTTTGCCAATGTAGGCCTTTTTTTTTTTTTTTAAACAAACTGTTAAGCTTTCATAGGAATGAGCTGCAGCAGCTCAGGTATTCCTATTGGCTCTCACAAAAGTGCTTCTCTGGGTGGAGCCCTTCAGATGAGCTCAGGTACCTTTCTGCACAGAATCCTCCTTTCCTTTCTTTCTTTTTTTTTTTTTTTTTTTTTTTTGTTGTTTTTTGAGACAGGGTTTCTTTGTAGCTTTGGAGCCTGTCCTGGAACTAGCTCTTGTAGACCAGGCTGGCTTCGAACTCACAGAGACATGCACCACTACTGCCCGGTTGCATCCTCCTTTTTCAGCTCATTTTTCTTCACCTGTTTCAAGAAACTAACTTGATTTTTAAAGTGCTGAGTATGTGCCATACATCTATCAATTTAGATATAAAAGGTTTTTCCAAGTTTACTCAGAGTCAAAAGAATAAATAAAAATATTTTTTCTTAATATACATAAATGCACATTTTAAAACACTAAAAAAGTAGTGAAGGACAAATTTTAAAAAATTTTTTTCTTCTTTCATATCCTTGGCAGTTTAAAGGGTCCAATGGTACTACAGGCCCCAATTCCAAAATGGGTGACTATTATAATTTCCTCTCCTCCAACTATTCCATAAGCTGTTAATAAAATGTCAATTATGTTTAGGTTTGGCAATATCATTCCGCATGTTCAAGCCCAAGAGGTCCTCAAGCCGCTGCCTCTCCTTCCTACCACCATTTGCTTTACTTCTGCATTTCACACTTTATTTTTCATTTCCAGATGACGACATGGAAACTCAGGAGGACAAATCCCTGGGGTAAGTTATGCCACATTTCCCTCGCATCAGTAGTTGTCATCTTGGGGTTGGCAGCTAATTCCAACTGAAGTGGTTAAGCAGGACACTTCCCAAACGACCTTGTTACATGTTGTGATAAGCAGCAAAGAAATGTACACTTGATGGGGCACGCGAGAACACCAGCTAGGATTTATCAGACTTTCTTTGCCAAGAGAAAAGAGCCTTTGGTTTTGTCACTGAAACTGGTAATTTGCTGTGTCTTTTTTTTTTTAAGTGCTACTACAATAAGACTGCAAAGCTTCTTTAGATTTTTATTTTTCGTGGGGTTCTGAAGCCCTCATAATGAACATGGTGGGTAGCAAGTTCTCTCCTGTACTCAGTTTTTACTGGGGGTCCCTCCAAGGCCAGATGCATTCCAGTTACTAAGGCTAGGAGTGAGCTACACGGCTCAGAGAACTGATAACCAAATTCCCAGAAACTCAAGGAGAAAACAGTTTAGATGTAGCTTAGCCTCAGGACCTGTGTATTTAATGATGAGAGCAGAGGGCGGGAGCAGAAGCACAGCTCTAGACTGCTTAGAGAAGCACACATTCTCCACTGCAGATGCTCTAGGGTCAGAATCTCAGCAGAGCTAAAACACCTAGTGACCACTGACAAATCTCTTTCTGGGAGGAATATTGGGAATCAAACTGAGGCTAGTAATTGTGGCCTGAACCCAAAACAAGAACAAAATGCATAAAAACCCAAAACTGAAGCTTTTTAAAGGGAATCCATAAAGAAAAACAAAGTGGAGGGCAAAATACAAATAACAAGTGAGCCAGTTAAAATTAAAAGCGCAACAACAAGCCGGGCAGTGGTGGTGCACGCCTTTAATCCCAGCACTCAGGAGGCAGAGGCATGCAGATCTCTGTGAGTTCGAGGCCAGCCTGGTCTACAAGAGCTAGTTCCAGGACAGGAACCAAAAAGCTATGGAGAAACCCTGTCTCGAAAATCAAAAAAAAAAAAAAAAAAGTGCAACAACATTTGGGGCCAATTAAAGTAAAACAAAGTATAGTCAACAGATTCATCTCACTATTTCACTTTCTTAATCTAAATAGAAAAAGTTGATCTAGGTGCTACCCTTCAGCCTCAATATTCTGTTTAATGCATTTTCTGAATTCAAACACAGTTATTCAATCAGCACCAAATTGTACTTTAGTTTTAGTGCTTGGGTTTCTGAATTGCATGCAATCTGGTGTTGAGGTGAAAAACTCTCCAGTGTGTTGACTATTGTGATACTTTTCTCCAGCTACACCGAGTCATTTCTGCGCTTGCAAGACATCCTTCAAGAGAACAAAATCAACAGTATTGATGATAGCAACACTCGCCAGGCTGTAAGTGGGACAAGGAAGACAGAAACACACCAAGATGTGGGAATCTGAAAAAAAAAAAAATGGCAAGGGCATGGTGGTGGATTCTAAACATGCTAGAATAGATATGGCTATTGATGTCTGCTGAAAACTGAGCCTTACTGCAAATGTATTTAACTAATCAATTAAGTAGGTTCAATATTTTTTATCCCATAAATCCTTCTGTTGCCGGGTGTGGTGGTGCATCCCCTTAATCCTAGCACTCGGGAGGCAGAGACAGGCAGATCTCTGTGAGTTCAAGATCAGCCTGGTTTACAAAGTGAGTTCCAGGACAGCCAGAGCTGTTACACAGAGAAACCCTGTCTCGGGAAAAAAAAAAAAAAAAGAAAAGAAAAAAGAATCCTTCTGCTGGACAAATAAACTACTTAGAGAGTATTCTCTTTGTCTTGTTCTTCCCCTGTCTGCTCGTGGAGATATTTTTAGAAGCTAGAATAGGAAAAAAAAACAAATATACCCATGTGATTTTTCCCTTTTGAAAAGCAGGCGCTAGCTATGTTCACGTGTCTACAAACTGGAGTTTGATTCCAGGGAAGATGATCTGATCTAGCAAGTCATACTGTGCTTGAATTGCTTGTAGAATTGCAACATGTGATTACAAGATTTTCTCTTGATGGAGGATAAAGTACCTTCTAGGGAATCCCATTAGATTTGTGAGTAGCTCTGCAATTGCAGATTCTTACTTATGCTTAGTAGGGAGCTATCTTGCTATACCTTTAACCTATTTATTTTAATTCGGCTCCTTTGAACCACTGCTATAACAAATCTAATGCTGCTTCCACAGAAATAGTCCTTCAGACTTTTTTGTTTTGTTTTGTTTTTTGTTTTTCAAAACACGGTTTTTCTGTGTAACAGTCCTAGCTGTCCTGGAACTCACTTTGTAGACCAGGCTGGCCTGGAACTCACAGAGATTTACCTGCCTCTGCCTCCCAAGTGCTGGGATTAAAGGCGTGCACCACCACTGTCTGGCTAGGCCTGCAAACTTTTAAAGATTTGTTTTATTTTTGATTATGTGTATATGTACATGTGTGTGCAGATATATGCATGTGAGTGCAGGTATCTACAGAAACCAAAGGTGTTTGGCACTGGCTACTCCTGGAGCTGGAGCTCTAAGTGGCGGCCATCAAAGTTTGGTCCTCTGGAAGAATCAGAAGCATTCTTAACCAGCCCCAAGCCTTCTCGCCACTATCACATTAGGCTTAAATCCTCTCCAAGATGGATCATGCCATTCCAAGTCCTTCATATAACTTGATTTAGAGTCTTTTTCCATTCCAGTTCTCTAAACGCATATCAGTTTCGAAATTTGTCAAGTGGGACTTTCTAAAATGAATGCAATATGGGCCGGAGACTTGGCTAGGTGGTTAAGAGTTCTTCTGCTATTCCAGAAGGCCTGAATCTGATTCCCAGCACCCACATTGTACAGCTCACAACCTTTTCTAACACCCAACTCCAAAGGGAGGGAGTTCTTATCTCTGGCCTCTGAAGGCACTATCGCCCATGTATTCTTCACACATGTAATTCAAAAACCTTTAAAAAAAAATCAATAAGAACTTCTTAAAATTCCATATATTTCTTTATCTTCTGTGAATATTTGGGTATTTGTGTGGAGGTCAGAGGACAACTTGAAGATGCTACTTCTTTCCTCCCACCATGTGCTGCTCAGTCTTGGTGGAACGTGCCTTAACTCTACTGAACCATCTTGCTGATGCCATATGTCTTGATTCTTTTTCATGGGTTCTGAGGGTCAAACTTGGGTTGCCAGGCTTTCATGGCTAGCACCTTTATAGCCACTAAGCCATCTCTCTTGCCCTCAACATGTTATGTATCTTAAACAAATGTGATTTTAATGTATTCAGTACGACAGGATATGTCTAATTTGGTAAGACCAAAGTAAAGTCTTGCCAGTTTTAAATGGTCTCAATTTTAAAATATGAAATTTAATAATAAAAGTAGGTGTATGTTTAGCATAAAAGTAGTTATACACATAAGAATTGTTATGATTGTTTGTGGTATATAGCCTAAGAATTTTCCTTGTTAGTGCACAACATGAATAAGCTATAAAGTGTGATTGTACATGTAGCAAGTTTATTCTTGGCTAGATACACAGAGCATAGTATATAGAAGGAACGGGTGACAGTCCTACCTTACTTACTATATTTCAGTCAGTTCTGGAATGCTGTGTATTTTTATTATCGTTTTCTAAAATGTGGGTCTGTGAAAAGGCTTTTTAGCCCATAAAAAGTTTTATTAAACCGGATATGAAGCTGGGTGTGGTGTCCCATGCCTTTAATTCCAGCACTACCAGGAGGCGGAGACAGGCAGAGATATCTGTCAGTTCAAGGCTAGCAGGTATACAGAGGAGTTCCAGGACAGTCAGGGTTACACCCAGAAACCTTGCCTTGAAAAGCAAAAACAAAGCAAAACAAGGCAGAGGTGGTGTCTTGAATCTGTAATCCCAGCATGCCTATGGTGAGATGGGAGGCAGAGACAGCTATGTCTGGCAGCTTGTAAGCCTGCTAGTCTCAAGTATGCAATGTGGCAGAAACAAAAGCTGCCCTGTCCCAAACAAGGTAGAAGGTGAGAACCAATTATTGAAAGCTGCCTTCTGACACGTCTTTCTCTCTTTTTCTCTCTCACTCCCCCCTCACACAGACACACACATACTTTAAAATTTAAACATAAGACACAGCACAGCATGGTCTTGTGTACTCAGATACCAGCAAAAGAAACATAGATGTGAAAGATGTGATATTAGAGGGATATTGTAGAGGATATGTGCTTAAAGCTTTGAAGTAAGAAGGCATCAATGTGCAACCTCAGCTAGGAAATTACACATTGGGTGACAAATTTTTCACCTCTCTGTGCATATCTGAAATGACCAAACGCACTGAAAGAATTGTTTTTAAGTGTTACAACTAAATTTTAATAAATAGGTGAATTTGCAAGTATACAATACATGAATATTAAGGATTTACTACCAAAGTAATGATTCTTTTCGGGTAGCAGCTACAGCCCTAGAGAGCTGAGATGAATGAGGCCTAGATGGATATAACCTCTTTTCACTTTGTGGTTTTTTTTTTTTTCTGAGACAGAGACTCACTATGGAACACTGGCTGCCCCAGAACTCACTAAGGTAGACCAGGCTGACCTCAAACTCACAAATTGCAATTGCGTTTGCCTCCAGAGTGTTAGTAAGCTGGTAGCACTGGCCTTGAGCCCTCAGCCCTGCCTCTGCCTCACCAGTGCTGGGACTGCAACCACATTCATATTTCCTTTTGAGATTTTGAAGGAAGAAAAGTGATCATCAGTAATAAAAGTAAATTACAGATTATAGTCAGCAACCAAGACCACTAAAAATATTCTAGAACAACTCAGGCCTCTTCAGGGTATCTGGTGCTTTTATTAATGTGAGCAGCTTATTGGTTTTTTTTTCTAGACAGGGTTTCACTGTTTAACATCTCTGGCTGTCCTGAAAGTAGCTCTTATAGACCAGGCTGGCCTCAGAGTCCCAGCGATTCACCTATCTTTGCCTCCTGAGTGCTGGGATTAAAGGTGTGCACCACCACCACCCAGCAAACAATGTATTATTACAAAAACACTGTACCCAAGGCCCATTTTCTTCAAAGTTTTCAAGGTAGCCACCTATTGATGGGTACCTTGATGTAAGAGAGGAGCAGTGGTCAGGTTATAAGGTACAAATGTTTACTAAGTTTTTTTTTTTGTTGTTGTTGTTTTTGAGACAGGGTTTCTATATTTACTAAGTTTTGTCCCAACATTATTTTCATCACTTAAGACTATCAACTATAGGATTAACATCCTTTGATGGCCAAAAGTTCTGTCTACTTCCTTTTGACTTTCCCGTGTCTTTATCACTCTGTAGGGAAGTGCTAAAGAAGATGATGGAACCAGCCACAGTGACAGCGATATTGATGATAACGTGAAAGTTATCATTGGCAACATAAAAACAAACCCCTTTGTGTATATGTATGTAACCTTAAATGTCCTTGGGTTGTGGGACACCCGGGGATGGGGGGGGGGATAAAGGGAGTCACCTCTCCTTTAACTGTTTTTAACGTTATCCTTGGTACCTGCTGGAAAGAAATGTAGGAAGACGATAAAGTCTGTACTTAGAACTGTTGCACACAGCACACTATTGCTTTTATGGAGGCTGTTATTCTTAAAAAACGATTCCCAGGCGGGCTGGCGGAGCCCGCCATGAGAAAGCGGCTACAGGAGGGCACACTTCCTTGGCCCATGGTGGCGGCAGGTAACAGACACGTAAACACAGGAAATAGCCATAAGTATTTATTAAGGAAGAGGGAGAAAGAAAGACAGAGAAAAGAGATAAAAGGAGAGAGGAGAGATAAAAGAAGAGAGAGACAGAGAAAACGCGTGCCGTACGCCAAGGAAGCAGAAAGAGGAAAGGTCCCAAGATGGCGACGGGCAGGTCAGAGGTTATGGGAGTGGGTGTGGCTAGGGCAGGGACCGAAAGAATAACAGAGGCCATTGTTTTCATCTCTTCCGTTTTATGTGGACCTCTTCTCACAGATGATTTTGGACTTAAATTATTTAGGATTTTACTTTTGTGAGCATGGCTGTCATTTTTGTAGGAAATCAGAGCGTTCAAAGGGTAAAAGAGCCCACAAGTCTATTTCCGCTAAAGCAGTGTCCTAGAGCAGCCCTTCCATGCTCTGTTCTTAGTACTGTTTTTTTTTTCCCCAAGTGCTAGTAGAGGTACACATTTGATGTCCCGCTTTTTTCTCTAAACGGAGAAATAGGTAAGATAGTGCATGCCTTTAATCCCAGCACCTGGGAGGCAGTAGCAAGAATATTTGTGTGTTCTAGGTCAGCCTGATTTGCGTTGTGGCTTTGGTTTGCCTCCAACCCCAGAAGCTCTGGTGAGACAAAGGCTGACCTTGAGCTCCAGTCAGCCCCTCCTCCACCTCACCTTGCCAGGCCTCGGTCTGCTCACTGGGGGATCTTGGCTGGACCAGCCCTTGTTGTAGAGCCTTGGACTTGGTTAACAAAGGAGAGAGAAGGGATACTTTTCTGGGGATGTCTGAGTGAGAAAAGGTACTATACACCACCAGGGACAGTCCCCGAGCTGGAGTCCTCCTTTGTGGCCAAGGCACACTGTGATTCTTGGGAATAGTGACTGCCTGAAGCCCTTCCTTACCCTCAATGATCCTTGCCTGCCTAGGTCATCCTTGGAATGGGACAGGGTCCCTCCTGTATCCCGAATGCTGGGATCACCTCATGTTCTGCTTCTGTGGTACTGAGAAATTGAACCAAGGGCTTCATGCATGCAAGGAAAGTACTTTACCAAGTAGGCTACATCCTGATTATCCCTTGACTGTCTACTTATTTATTGTTTAGATAGGGTCTTATATGTAGCCCTCAGTCTCCTGGAACTTGCTCTATCAACCAGGCTGACCTGTGAAGATACCTGCCTGACTCTCTGAGTACTGGAGTGCTGGGCTTAAAGGCATGCACCACTACACCTGACTTGCAATGTCTTTAACTTTTTTTTTTTTTTTAAGATTTTATTTATTTATTAAGTATACAACATTCTGCCTCCATGTATGCCTGCACGCCAGAGGAGGGTGCCAGATCTCATTACAGATGGTTGTCAGCCACCATGTGGTTGCTGGGAATTGAACTCAGGACCTCTGGAAGAGCAGCCAGTGCTCTTAACCACTGAGCCATCTCTCCAGCCTCCCTGTCTTTAACTTTTTAAAGGCATTTAAAAAAAATTTTTTTATGAGTATGAGTGCTTTCCTTGCATAGCTGTCAGGCTGCAAGGATGCAACATATGACTTCAATAACAATTCAAATGGCAAGAAAGATACCTGGTGCAGTTCTTTCCACATCTTGTTCACCATCTGAGTTCAGATCAGTGAGCATCGCCCTAGAATACAGAGAAAGTATAATCAATTGTCAATAGGCTGACACCAGCAATTTGAAGAGACACAAAAGTCATTTAGGTACACACAAAAATATGACCCATTCATATTGGAACTAAAAAGGTTGTCTTTCTACTAAAAGGAATGGGAATGTGAAAATTACTTTTTTTTTTTTTTTACTTCAGTGTTAGGTATAACAGAAAAGGCCAAAGAAAGAACTGGAGGTTTTGATAAAGGCTTCATTAGTGCTACCGTTTTTATTGTTTATCAAATAGTAAACAGACCACTGATTTTCGTTAAAAGGGGTGGGGGTGGGGAGTTTGAACAATTAGCCATGCAAAAGCAGGCTATCTCCCTAACTCCTTAACAGGCCCGGAAGGCACTCTGTAGATCAGGCTCCCCAACAGAATCTGAATGAGGTCACAGGTGGAGTCTCTTCACAGGTAGGGACTGGATTAGGGGTAGTAGCTAGCTATCAAGAGAAAGAGAACTGAAAGGATATGGGAAGAGCTAAGACTGCAAGTTTGGAAGGTCCTGCCGGATGTGTTCAGATCCCACTAAGCTACTAAGCTGCGTCATTATCCCTATCCGGGAACCAGAATCCCTGAGGCGTTATAATCAGAAAGGCAATCCACACCCAGGGCTTAGGAGCTAAAGAAGGACTGTGCAGAATCTTACTCCCCAACCCCCACCCAGTCCTGCTCCTCGTAGACTCTGGCTTTCCAGAACTCAGAGTTTTGAGTATACAGACTAGACCCACTGGCCCGCACTCTCCATATCCTTGCTGCGCAGAATTGAGGGGACAGGAAAAGCTCTCTCCTATAGAGAGCTAAAACCATGAGGCTAGAGAGATGGCTCAGTAGTTAAGAGTTCATATTATTCTTGCAGAGAGCCCAAGTTTGGGCCCCAGCACCTGAGTTGCTCACAATCACCTCTACTCTCAGCCCCAGGGGACCCAACTCCCCTGGCCTCTATAGGCCCTAGCACTCAGGTAGGTAGCACACAGAGACATAATTTTTTATAAGCTAAGCCTGGCCTTAGGTAGAACTGAAATCTGCTAATTGAAATCAATGTGACTTTTCTATCATCCACTTGTCTTAAAAAGCTGAAGCTACACTTTACACGAAGGAAAAAGTTATCTCTATTTTTCAAGACAGGGTTCCTCTCTGTGTAGCCCTGGCTGTCCCGGGACACACTCTGTAGACCAGGCTGGCCTCACAAACATCCTTCTGCCTCTGCCTCCCAAGTGCTGGGATTGAAGGCTTGCACCACCACCACCCTGCAGGAAAAAGATTTTATAGTTCCTGTAATGCCTTCACTCTTTCACAGCACCGAAACTCTGGTTAATAAGGCAACATCCAGAGGTGAAGAAGGAAATAGACATGTAAACGGTTAACATTTTCTGCATTGGCACTTGCACTCATGCATGTTTACATGCAGATTTGAGGGCAAGCATCTTTACCAGCTCAACCCTCTCCAGCTCCACATAATGCATTTTCACTTAGGCATCTCAAATAACTGAAATATTGATGTCTGGCTTTTAATAGAAAGAATTGGCTGGGCAGTGGTAGTGCACACCTTTAATCCCAGCACTTGGGAGGCATAGTCCAACCTGGTCTATATAGTGAGTTCCAGGACAACAAGGGCTACACAGAGAAACGCTGTCTCAAAACACTGGAGAGAGAAAGAGAATCAGCAAGACTTGGTAATCCTTGGTAGGTTCCTTTTAAAGATGTGTAGAAGGGAGACATTACTGGAAAAAAAAAAAAAGAAAGAAAGAAAATTACTAAAAGCCTTTCTTCCACAGATAATGCCATGAATCCAACTGATTAAACAAGGATCAAAACCACCTTACCATCACCTGTCCTCATGCATAAATGAAGTTGTAATGAAAAAAAAAAACACCAAACTTGTTTTAAAGACAATGGTATCATCTTTACTCACATACCCGAAAGCAAATCTATACCAAACTGCTAAAACAAGTGGAAACTACTTGAGACCAGATGGAAAGTGGGGAAGATCTACTGAATCTTGAAGATTTTGAAGATGGAAATCCTTGTCCAGCTTGAGAAATCACCCCAAAACCATTGTCAAATCAAAAGTTTGTGTGTATTTCTGTGTGACAGCTTCAAAGTCATTGCCCCTTCCTTGTCATACAAATTGCCTCATTTTTTTTTTCCTTTTCTTTTTCTTTCTGTCCCCTCTCCCCACATTGTGTTGGTTTTTTGAGACAGGGTTTCTGTGTAAACTAGCCCTGACTGTCCTGGAACTCGCTCTGTAAACCAGGCTGGCCTCGCCTGCCTCTACCTCCCATGTGCTGGAATTAAAGGCATGTGCCACCATGCCTGGTTTATTTGCAAGTTCTTTATAATAAAGTTCTAATTTTAAAAAGAAGATATTTAAGAAGCTAGGTAAAAAATTAAGAATACATTGTAATCATTCTTGCCTTACCAATTAGAATTATTTTTCCAGATCAACTCATTAACTACAAAAGTGGAAATCACTGTACTCACTGTCTTATAATAAATATTCAGAAACCTAGTTTTAAGAAAAAAGTGGGGGACTGGGCGGTGGTAGTGCACGCCTTTAGTCCCAGCACTCTTCCCTCTCCTACTTTGCAATCTTTACTTCTATTATATCTACCTGAGGACTGCTACTTTCAACAGTTGCCTATGATGTAGAATGAGCAAAGCAATAGAATTGATATTATAGAGGATTTACTTCTAAACTAGCTTAGGACATTAAGTCACACAAAATAGAATTACTTCAGGAAGTGCTACATCCAAAACACCTCAAAGGTATAAGTGGAATTCTAATCAGGCTTGTTAGACTTAGTGGAACGTAGGGTCCCTAAGATGGTGATGTTTACTTACAAGGAGTGTAGCCTTCTGAGCTCCATTCCCATAGCAAAGGAGATAATTTAGGCTCTCAATAGCACCTTAGTGTCTGACCAAGATGCCAGACCCTTGTCTTTAGAGTCTGGCCGGTAGGAGGATAGCTGATACAATCTGGGCTCAGGTGCAGTTTGGGTGGGTAGCAACCTCTCACTAGAAGAGATAAATCTTGGTGGTGTCTACGCAGTGCCAACTCTGTGGGCACACAATGTGCATGAGCTGTGGAATCATTGCTAGCTCCACCTAGATTTCAAAATATGCCTTCGTGAGCCTTCAGACCCAAGCAGAGAACTGGAGTAAGGCTGTTGTAAAGTCCCTACCAGCGTAGTGCTTGGCAAAGCCATGGCCTTGGAACCAGAGCCAGTGGTCTTTTGCCCACAGAATAAGGCCCAACTAGAGCAGTGCCCCCAAAGAGCTATGGAAGTAGCTCTCCCCTATATAACCCCAGAATTATCAAGCTACCATGTTCATCAACAGCCTGGGAGAGGTACGGGTACCTGGTTCCAACTGGCAAGAAATTGCTGGGGGAGCTGTTCCCAGTGAGCCATGCCTAAAGCTCTGTGAACTAAAACTCCATGCCACGTGTTTTCAAAAGCAACCTTTGTTCTTGAGTCTTAAGATAAAAGTATTTCCTCTGTTGGGGTGGGGCTAGAGACTTGCACTGTGGTTAGGATTGCTTACTCCTGCTCAGTTCCCAGCACCCACACAGCTGCCTGTAACTCTCGCTCCGGGGGGGATCTCACACCCTCTTTTTGGCATCCTCCACAACCAGCCACCTGCATACATAAATAACAGTAAAAAAATTTTAAATATATTTATAATGAGAGAGAGGGACACCTGTGACATCTTGACCTTGGGACTCCCCCTTAGAGAAATC